GACTTATAGGACAAGTTTTAAAGGCTGTGGATACAGCGCGGAAATCGCCAATTAGAGATGTTCTGCTTGTGCACATGGCTTGAGGTGATGTTCTCAGTATGCGCACAAACTCAGGCTTTGGTGAATTGCCAGAGTGGGGTCTGCTGCATACTGATGACCGAATCTATGTTCAGAAGGCGTCACGTACAGAGACATTTCATGCGATTTGGAAGCAAACCAATCATTTTAAAAAATTGCTACCGTTATGCATGATTACGGAAACTTTCCAAATGCTAAAATCAATGCAACTTACTTTCGACTGTTCACAACATAATCGATAGCAGCGAATATTTCTTCCGCAGATGCTGATTTGTGGTCAATGCTCAGTCCGATACCCAAACTGGTTACTCGTTTTGCATTGCGGTACTGGTCGCCGAACAGAGGCACCGCGATAATGGGCACCCCGGCATGCGTAGCTTCCGTAAAACTGTTGTATCCGCCGTGGCTTATAAAAACTTTGATTTTTGGATGAGCTAGAAAAATAGAAATTATTCGATCAGCACTATCTTCAGCACTAATGCATACCTAGCAACGTTTTCTGAGGTATCCATTTTTTAACGACAATATTCGGCACGTTTTCAGCAGGTTTAAACTCACCTTCAAGTCTCCAGATCACTCGTTGTGGTAGGCGTTTAAACGCATCCAAAAATTTCATCTAAGCTTTAAAAATATTCGAACGCCTCGGTTTTGTTTATAATTATATAAAGTTTTATCCTGTCTCCATCACAGTTCAATCTGTGGTCCTGTCATACAGGCAATCAGATAGTCAGTGCAGAATATACCTTCGAACTAATTATATTTTACTAATTAGAAAGATACAGAATATGGAAGTGTTGACCTTTGGCTGCTGATTTTAATATCATCATTAATCATTCTAAATCTGTCGAATGCCGATTTTTGACAATGAATACTCAGAGCATGACTTATTACCAGATACAGTGCAGTAACACGGAATATGTCGGTGGTTAAACTCTGCCGACAGTGAGCGAAATCAAATATCAGAGAGTCGAGATTTGACTTAAAATAATTAGCTCATATAACGGCTGTTTTGCAGATGATCAGGAAAGCTTCCTGTTGTGTGTCGTCTGATGAATGCCGACGTATCAACAAGCGTAGTGCAAAGATTTGTCGATGCATGCTTCTTGCCTATCCTAACTTAGGCATCACCAGTGGTCTCTTCAGGCATAGGCCAAGGTCGGGAGCTGCTTTCTATGTCAATATGTCACTCTTGGAAACTTTGAAAAAATTGGCAATCAATTCCTTGATCAAGCGTATGCTGTAACTCGTTGGAAGGATTCTCGATTATGCCAGTCCTGCCGAATGCTTTATCCCCAGATGTCGCTCGTTCAGAACTGATACAAAATCAAAATGTTGCTGTATGTCTGGCCGTGCTGAAATTCCGTCGTTCAAATCATGACACAGTCTCTCATATTTCGAAAAATGGTGAAATTTTCATGAAATTGCGCTGAAAAGCTTAGTTCTTCGAAGCTGCTCTTGAAGCAATAAGTTCAACTCAGTTTAACAGGGCATAACACCTAACTATTATTTTGTGTATGCCAAAAACTATCATGGAGAACAGGCTTAATTCTAAAAGAAACCACCTTCACTTGATTTTCTTTCGCTTATAATTTAATGTGCATGCTAATGATAAATACGTAGTGTAAGACATTTCTCACCTTCAAAGCTTCTGGCATATACGTCGTATTGGCCACGGTTCCAAAGGCGAACACCACCACGCCGTGTTCACCTGAGATATCTATTATATCCAGCCACTCCTAAGTGTCAAAGCCACATTTATGACGGCAATCGCGGAGGATGGCAAATTGCAACAGCAAACCTTTGTCAAATTGCCGGCTTTGACCATCGTAAGGCCCCCGACCATTGTGATTTTCGGCGTCAAGGGTCTTGGCGCATCAACGGCTATGTAAGAGTTGACATAAAAGAATCGTGAGTCTTTGAGGACTTGAATTAAATTTCGCGACTTCGGGTAATAATGCAGATGAACCGCTTGACATGGTCGCATCAAAACCCAGTAGAAAACGACATTCATTACAGATGCCATAATGGCGTTTTTCGTTCTGTGACGGAAAAGCTTGTGGTCGAAATCAGAGCTTATTCCACTGTCCACATAACTAGGCGGGTTTGGCGTTCCTGAGTACCACGCAAACGGACTGACCAGGAAAGCGGTGTTCATCCATACCCTGTGTTTTATGCCCAAATGTTCTGCAATTCCCATCCAACACATGTCAGCCACATGAACAATCGCCACCTCGGCGTTCAACTGACGAACCCGAGCTATAATATCTGTTTCGTTTCGCAGTAGTGCCTCACAGCCCTGAGCAAGCGCTGTGAATATTTGCTTGAAAAACGATAGCTTCACCGGTGTGTCCTCCGACGCACTCCACGTAAACTGGTTCATCTGTTCTGTTATTCGAAGAATCTCCTACGAGAGAGCAGAAAATATCACTCTGAAACAAAAGCTTTCAGATTACGTTACCGGGTCTTGTGCGACTGCGTTGTACGTCCATTCCTTTGCAAAGTGCAGCTGTGGTTTCTTTGCC